ATTTTCCTTATAGGCCGACTTGATCCTACCTGAGTCTTGCGAGCCACCATGGTCCGCCGGCCCAGCAGAGCAGGCGGGGTGCTACGGCTGGTGACCCATGGCTCTTGCATCGCCCGAGCTCTGAGAGCCCAAGCGCCTTGGCTACTTGTCGTCGCGCGCAATGTGTCAAAATCCTCTACACCGCAAACATCATTGGGTAAGCTTGCAGGTTGCCGCCCGATGCGCGGAGGAGAGGCAATTGAGGCATTTGCCGAGAAGATCTGCCGGGATGCGCCTCGATGGTCGACGACTCGCCGGCTGGCCTCCGCGTGCTGGCCCTCGTGGCTCAGCTGAGGTGGCCGCTGGTCGCGTCTCCTATCGGTGGATGATCTCTCACCACCCAATGGCGTTGGGGGCGGAGACCCGTCGGTGGCGCCCGAGGCGCTGGCGTGCTGGGATGCGGCCCTCCACTGGCCGAGTCGGCATGCTGTACAATAGCTGTGGGCACGGCCAACTGCGTTTCCCCCGCCTTCGCCTAGCATCCTGGCGACCCACCGTCGCACCGCCATGGCCCAACGTTAGAGGTTGAGTGCGCGGTAGGGACATCACAGGTAGCGTCGACGTCCTCGGCGGCTGCGGCTCCTGACAAACCACGTCCAGGTAGGGGGTCATGGAGGTGGTCTGCACCTCTTCCGCATCGAAGTCATCGAGGAGGTCATCATCCGCCCAACGACGGGTCTTGGAGCATCCCGCCGGGCTACTCCCAGGATGGAAGGGGCAACTTGGGGGATAGGGTGGACGATGGGCTTAGGGCGGGGGCGGACGGGTGAACAAGGAAGGCGTCGAGGTTGGAGGCAGCGGAGGACGACAACGTTGCCGCGGAGCCACGCCCGGAGGCCGCCTCCAGGAAGAGCGCCGCTGCCCAAGCTCCCGTGGCACGGGGCCCTACGCCCACTGGCTGGGCGAGCGCAGCAGCAGGCTCGGTCGCTGCCTAGCTGTGCGGGGCTGCCTCTGCCGTAGCCTGGCCGTGAGCTAGTGATGTGGGTGGCGGTGGTTGTGCATCTGGCGCGCCAACGCCGGCGACCGTGGTGCTCGGCTCAAGCGACGGCGGCGGCAACGAGCTCGGACCGAGGCCGCCCATGGCAGCCAGCTTCTCGGGACCGACTTTCGCGGCACCTTCTCCTCCGGCGACGTCATGGGTTGTGGCGGCGGTAGTGGCTGCTGCAGCGTGGCGTCCTCTCCATCGCTGCCGGCCATGGATCCGGCCGCCCGAGGCCCATCTGCACGGGAATCGGCCGCCTCCTCGGTCTGCGGTGGCGGTAGCACCCCATCACCGGCTTCCGCGAGCTGGGAGGCCGCGGTGGTGGCGGCGGCGATGCTAGGCCCCACTGTGGAGGAGGGGGGAGCGGGCGGGGGAGGGGGGAGGAGGAGAGGAGGGTGGAGATGGCCTTCGTGGCCGTGTGGCCACTGTGGCTGGGACGGCCCAGCCCGGCCCTTCAGCTGTGTCGATGATGGGGAGCATGGCGTGGAAATGGTGGCTCCCGACGGTGGGGGAGGAGGGGTGGGGGATGACAGGGGGAGGGGGAGGCAGGCACCGGCGGTGGCGCCGGAAAGGCTGCCGGCGCCGGGTGCGGCGGTGAGGGTGGCGCCGCTGCCAGCTAGGGTTGGGGGCGTCGCCGTCCGCCGGGTGTTTTAGCCTAACCGCTACTGCAGATGATGAACATGCTCGCAGCCAACACAAGGAAAGATTGAATCTTCCAGCAGTGCGCTAGCTATCGCCCTGTTCGCTTAGGCTTGTTTGGCTTATAAGCCATACTTTTTTAGCTAACGAACAATATTTTTCTCTCACACCAAATCAACAAACTAGTACTTTCAACCATGGCTTATCAGCCAAGCAAGACCAAACGAACCGGGCATATGTTGTGTTGCCGTTCGATCGCCCCAGCTGCTCTATTGCCGGTCCAAAAAACACAAGCTTTGTTAATGTTCACTAACCACCTTCATGGCTCTTGCTAGTTGCTAGGACACGAACCAGTAGGCAGTAGCTAGCCAAGGTACACCGTGGAAAACTGGAAATTTTGCCCAGGGTACCCTGTACCTTGGCCAGCAGCTTCAAAGTACGGTGAACTTTATAAATTTAGTTTTTTTTACACCAACATTTATATCTTGTCCATTCTGTTATCTAACATAAAACAAGCGCATCAAAAAAAAAAGATTTGGTAGCACAGTAGCTAGTATCAGAGGATTTGAGGTAAAAAGTTCAATCTCATTCTGACGACACTGTACATGCTTCTTCCAAGCTGAGAAGAAGTTTTGTATGTGAGTGATGTGTACTGACGCATAATTTTATTGTCTCATCAACTGCAGAGTGCCAAAAGGGCTCCTCCAAATGGCGCGCAGCACTAGCGGAGTGGGTGTGTGTGCTTACCTACGGGTCCGGACGAGTGCAGCGGACACCAGCAAGATCCAGCAGGCAGCAACCGTTGCTCTCGATCTGGGCCCCGCTCGTCAGGCTTCCATTCCTTTCTTCAGAGAACCTGATGCTGTATTGTGTGTTCAGTCTCAGTCTGTCAGTGCGATCCGCTACGACAGATTGAAATAAACGACTGATTTTTCCCGTCATTGTGATCTTGTGATGATATTTAGAGAAGAAGGGAGTTCTTTAATAACATCACTACTATTGTCACGACATGAGTGTTTTTGGTTATGAATACTTGAATAGTAACGGCCCGTTCGATCTCATCGGGAAACGTAAAGCTACAACAGAGATGATGATGATGATCAGGTAGTACATCATCGCCAGGGACCGGTGGTCGACTGGATTGGATCCGTTTTCAGAGGTAACGAGAACGCATGATGATGACGATAATTAAGTAGCGCGAGCCTTGTCATGCAAGCACCGTGATTGATGCTGCTGCATGCAGTGCTGCTCCAGCTCTTTAGGCTAGCTAATAGCTTTTGACCGCTAACGAATCGAAGCCTCGCTTTTGTCCACAAAGGAATGGCTTAGGATGCCGACGTGACGTACGGTAGTCGGTAGCCATGCATCGGCAGCCCAGCTGGATGGATGGATAGATCAGGGAATGCATTCCCGAAGACGATTGTTCTGCATGCATGCTTGCTTGCTTTCCGCATGCATAGCCAGCATAGGGCATCCCCAATCCTACGCCGCTGGGTCCCCATCGTTGTCCACTGTCGACCGAGCGATCGCCGGCCGCCCGGGATGACCCAACACGTACGTACGCTTGCTTTGGGATTACAATTTTATACGCCTAATTAAATTAGTTTATTAGTCGTCGCGCGAGCAAAAGGCTACGTGCGCCAGCTCGCTCGTGTACGGCCGGGATGATCTCGCCCGGCGCCGGCAGTGCTGATGGCCGGCAGGGCCGACAGCCGCGCGCGTGAGGGGGACGAAGAGCCAGAGGATCGATCGATGGAGTGACCGTGCAACGCCCGCGCGCGTCTAGTCGTCGATCGGCGACTGCGAGAGAAAAAAGGGGCCCGGCCGGCCGGCCGCCGCCTTGAATATACACACACCTACAGCTAGCCTACAGGGGCTACAGCATGCAGCGCGATCGTCGCGCCCGGTTGCGGTCCTCGTGTGTGAGTGCACGGTGAACCCGGCCGCGTATCTGATCTGTGGCGCACGTACGTGTAGTGACATGCTTTAATCTGTCTGTCTGTCTGTCTCGCGGACCGACAACATGACACGGCCCGTGGGCGCGCGACCCACCCACCAAATCAAGCTAGAAAACGGCCGCCGGGGATCGTCGATCGGGAGTGAATTGAAGACGATCGTCGATCGACATCTGCTTGCGCAAGGACGAGCACGAGTTCCGATTCCAGCGATGGAGATCGAGACAGCTACTAGCTGCTACGTACGGCGAGCCAATTGCATTGGCCGTGTCATCTGCCGCGCGCAGCAGACGCTAGGTGCCCGGCCGGCCGGCACACCACCGGGCGCCCCACACCAACAGGCGTACAGCAGGCCGCCGGCCAGGCGTGTAATGAGCAATGAAACGTTCCGTGGAACGATATGGAACGTAACGGATCGTGTAGCGCGTGCTGTCATCAACCGAGATAGACCAGTGTCGTCCTTGGACATGGAACGTATGTACCGGATGAGCACCATATAAGCCTCGTGATCCCTGCGCGGTACACTGTTAGGACTTAGGACCTGCGCTACCTCTACGGAAAACGGTGTATGTGCGTGAAGAAGGCATGCGTCTGTGTTTCGGGCCGTGACGAGTACGCATTCCATCTGATCTCGATAATAAGGCTTTAGAAAAGAGATCGTATTCCGCATCATTACGACGGACAAATCGCGTATGTGCTACCTCACGCCGGTGCGATGATTGTCACGCGCGGCAGCCAGCCAGCCACTCATCAGCCGGCTCAATCATTTCTTCCAGGTCTTAGATCCAGATTTCTACTAGTAGAAAGACTAGATAAACTACACAGGTCGACCAGAGACCCACTATATTATAATACAATAAATGTATAATTGAGCAACTGACGGAATTCTATTTTTCAGCTCTGGGCACCAGCACTGTTCTAAAAGTGCAGCTAGTCACGCAGGGCATTGCAGAGCTTCTTCAGACTAGCCGAGCAGTGAGCACAGTACTAGTGGTAGTGGCCACCGGGACAGGAGAGGCATAATAGTAGCATCTGCCCATCAATTCAGATTTCAGAGTGTTAGCAGGCAGCCCACATATGCAGTGACTGCTGTGCTTTTTTCCCCCTGATGTGGCAAATAGTGGGCTTCCAGGTCTGCTAGATCTACCATCAGTCCACTCTGATAACATTGGCATCAGAAAGGGCAAATGAGACATCGCAGATGTATCGCGCATGCTACAGACTGCAAAACAAGAGAATTGTTTCATTTCAGCGCTACAATTTGATCCCAAGTGACCTGCTACAGCCTAACCATCACCAGTCCACGCCGAGGCAAGCATCAGAACCTGACATATGTTTCATTTCAGGTTCAGTTCACCATACAACATAGGCATAAGCCTAATCAGTCAGGTTTCGCAATCTTGGGTGACATACAGGTAGGGGTCCTGATCTGGCTGTGGGCAGTACAAATCATCTGCTGCTGGCCACGACAGTGCCGCCATTGGGGCTTCCTCGCCGTTGTCGATGGCGACGAACTCTTCGTCGTTGTCCGAAGTTGGTTCGGCAAATGGCGCGTCTACGCTCTCCCAGTTCAGGTCGTCTCTGCAGAGAAGGCTAGGTTCTTCACTGACCCACTCATCCAAAACATCGATGTTGTCCAGGCTGATAGGATCTATGGCATCCTTAAGCTTACGCTGGTTTCTGCATGACAGTGCTGAACTGTAAGTAGCAAGTCAGGATGGTATATACATATATGACGTGGTTCAAGTCTTTGTACCTTTCTCGGAGCTTCAGATTATACCTAACAAAGACAACATCACTTAACCTTGAACGCTCAAGCCTGCTTATTAGCTTCCTGGAATGGAGATCTTTGAATGTATCCCAGTTCCTTTCGCACCCTGTTGCACTGCAACATTGGCTGAGGACTCGGATTGCAAGCCTTTGAAGTTCTATAGTTCCATTACCAAAGTTGTCCCACCATGCAACTGATGATAATAAACAATTATGTGACAACGTGAGATTAATGAATCCAGGCAAATACAATTCCATGGAAAATGGATTTTTTCCTGTTTTATTTAGGAAAGAGTAAATTTAACAAGCACACCAATATTTGGCCTAATAATAGTCACAAACCAATGGAATACTTTTTGTTGCTATTTCACAAACCCAACAATACCTGGGGCCATTTGCGGATCTAGGGAGTGACGGTGGTCCACGGTCCACCCAAAAAATCCTCGGCCCAACGCCCAGGTATGGGAAAAAAGAACTCATGTGAGGTGGGAAATCTGGTATTGTAATCTTCTTCCAACTATTGTAGCCATGTAAGCTTCTTTTAAGTCAAATTTCATACTTAACTGTTGATTTTAAGATGTTTGTAAGAAACCTTTTTAATCTATCTTAATGTGCTTTTAGTAAATACTGTACTCATATTGTATATTGGCACGTTACAATTTGCAGTACTTAAACAATCTATACCAAGTCATACCCAAAATCCTACATATGTCACTGTCTGGCTTTCTTCCCATAAAACTGTAAATTTTGCCACTCATTTTTCCTATCCACCAGGATCAGTGGGTGGAAAAAGAAAACAGAACATATTTCCGCTTGCCACCTCGACTGGGTCCAGGATAATTCTTCATTGTTATCTTCATCATCATATACTAGATTATTTTTACTCACAAAATTTAAAAATCAATTATGTTAATGCAGCATATACCCTGCTTGGCAGCCAAAATGGGTTGGTTGCCTTTTGGTGTGTCCCTGGGACAAGACTCATAACATGGAAGTCATTCTTACCTGGATTAAGTTTCTCTTTGACGAATTGCAATTGGAAGGCCAAAGTCACCAGTTGATTTCTTATACTCCTCAAGCTGAAGAAATATCTTATCTTGGGCATCATCATCAGGGACCAAACTAGTGATTGTATTAATAAGGCCCCTAGATGCATAGCTTTGCATCTTAAAAGAGGGGCTAAAGTAAATACAAGGATTGAAAAAGCATCCTGCTGCATGCAACGGGCTATGGAGCTGCTTCTCCATCCTCGCATCAATTACTCGCACATATGGTCCATACAGACAGGCCTTGTGCATCATCCTTGTCCTTATTGACTCCTTTGCCTTTTCCATTGCATCATAAAGATAGCCCATGGAAGGTTTTTCATTACTATCCACCAAGCGCAGAACGCGCAACAGGGGCTCAGTGACCTTAACAACATGTTTGCTCTTGGCCCAGAAGTCAACATCTTTCATAATAATAGCTGTGACATCTTTTCCAACACCACCTTTAGCATATGTTGATTTCACCCATTTGTTGCTGGTAACCATTTGGCGGAGCTCTTTCTCAAATTTAACAATGCTTTGGAGACTAAGAAAATGAGTAGCAAATCTCGAGATGCCAGGACGACACAGATCTCTACCATTTGTGAACTCTTTCCTCATTAAAGACAAAACCCAAGCATGATTATATACAAACTTTGTTATCTTTCTGGCTTTACCTAAAGTTTCATTGATCATAGGAAAATATCTAGGATCAGCGAAATTCTCCAACATCAAGTCAATGCAGCGCGCTGCACATGGAGACCAAACAAAAGTGCCATATCTTTCCTCCAGAACCTTAACAGCAGCCTTATATCTTGCGTCTATGTCAGTGATAAATTGAACAATGTTTTGTGGCCCAACTTCTCCAATAACTTGATCAAATATCTCAAGTAAATCAGATTTCTCTGTCGAAGTATCTACTGACTTCAAAAACATAGTACCTCGTGGGCAGTATACAAGAAAATTGATTATAGAACCCTCTCCATAGTCCTTTTGTCTGTCAGCAATAATTGAGCAACCATGTAAACTCCATTCTTTCTTTAGATCATCCAGATATTCACGAATGTCTTCAGCAATTTGTTTCAATAATGGATTACGTAGGTCATGATAAGATGGTCCCTTGAAGCCCAGTCCAGCAGATATTATCGCTTCTAGCATAGGCTGATAGAAAGGAGAATTTGCTGCACTAAAGGGTACATCTGCATCATACCACCATCTAGCCATAGCAATTATAGCTTCATGTAACAGATCATTTGGAGCTTCTGTACCATCTACACCATGTTGAACCATGTCTTCTGCAGTCATAAATGCACCACTGCTTGGCTCTGAACCTGTGGTAGCTTGGGGAGGAAAGTATCCCGTTCTTCGCTTCCTTGATGGTCTGAATAGGCTTTCAGAGCCTCCCTCGGTTGAGAAAATAGCATCTGAAGAATCTTTGGCGCGTGAACTGCGGGCATCTCTAGTTTCATACCTTCTTTCTTCATTTCTCCACTTCTCATCAATTTGTTGTATTATCTGACGTTTCACATCATCAGGCACCTTCTTGCAAGATTCAACTTGGCCTGGAACTCCAGCAAGATGATATTTAAAGCGAGTAATCCCGCCGCCTCCAATCTTTTTGCCACAATGAAGACATATGATGGCATTTCTTGAACTGGCATCCACTTTTGCGTGAACCCAAGCAGGATCCAGTGGCCTCGAAGAAGCTGAAGGTGATGCCATCAAGGTGACTACAGTTGATGCAGTACCAGCTACCTGAGTTCTAATAAAGACAGAATAAAAAAAATATTTTAGAACTTTTACCAAACATCAATTGTGTATCCATGATTAATCAAATATTACAAGAGCACTACAGTTTTCATAGAATAATAACTCCAGCAGAGTACATATCCAGGAAATAAGCTGCACACTCTTTCATTTTTATACACAATCCTATGCATTTGTTCAAATTTCAAAAAAAAAATCAATGAAGCAAGTAAAAATATTTATATATGTTCATTGCACAGCCTAGACCCCTTGAATACAGCAGGCAAAATCAAAATCTAGAACAAAAGTGTGCAGTCTTCGCTTGTGGACCTGTGGGGTTAACTATGGCAGCTTCCGTTACAAGGTTAGGCTAGGAAAAGAAAAACAACCACCCGATGATTCAAGGCGTTTCGCTGTAATTAGAACCAGTTACAGCTTAGAAGCAATACAGCCAAGATTATAGTCCATGACTACTCCGAACTTGCGAACAATCCAGGCGGTATCCGGCGATACCTGACCGCGCGTGATGAAAACCGGCCGGTTTCGAAAAAATCCGATCAAAACTTGAGCACCCCTTCTGCTATGAAATACACATGCTACTGGAAAAGTACTGAATTGAGGTATAGAATAAACTACACAGCCTCACCTCTCTTCAGTCATCAAGCGGTCGAAGGCTTCGTCCTTGGGGGCGAGCTCCCCCAGGCGGCAGATCTGGTCCGCTAGGTCGGAGACAAGGAAACCGGCGGGAAGCTGGGAGGATTCGGGCGAGAAACCGGAAGTCATCCACTGCGGTGCGGTTGGGTTTTGGGAGGACTTGGGAATGGCTGAATAGCCGGGGTGAGGGTGGGGCTGGAGCTGGACGGCGGCAACCGGAGAAGATCGGCGAGGTTTTCGTGGAATCGGGCGGCTGCCGCGGCGGTTTCCATCGGGGGTGGCCCGGTGGGCTTAGTCAAATTATTATAGATTTAGATTATTGCATTGCGACGGAAGAAAATCAAAATATGTATCTTCACTTAGTTACTGAATATATATATATATATATATATATTGCATTTAATCCATCAGCAATAAAGCAATAATTAAATTAGAACATTGACCTTGTATAAAAGTGCAATTTAGAATAATGCCAGCCAAATTAGCAAATTCCTTCTGTCGGGCAAAATAACTAGATATATATGAACATATTTAATTATCCATGAAAGAGGGAAAGTTTAGTGAAAAAGGAATCCCTGCAGCCAGCCCGCCTCGCTCGCTAGGGTGCCACCCTTGGCGGCTGCGTCCGCTCTCGCTCGCTGCCGCCGGCGACCCACCCCCTTTTCCTTCTCCCTCACTCGCCTCCCCACCCCCAACAGGTCCTCGATGGCCGTCTCGCCGCCCGGCCGCCACCGCCTCCCGCGACACCGCGTCTGTTGGCAGCGCAACCCCCGCTACCACCTCCCGGTTAGATTGGACAATAGATCGTCCAATATTTCTTTGCATGATTTTAATTAATTAGACCATTCGCTAATTCAGGTTATAATAAGAATAATTTTTATTCTTAATCAAATTACATCAATAATTTAGTAGTAGGAATATTTGATTATTAAGGATTACGGAATGATGAAGGATCCAAAGACCCATAATATTGTGTATTATTTATTTTTATGTTTATAAGAAAAATCATGAGAGAATCCAGAAAACAAAAATGACATGCAAAATAGTAAGGGAAAGGGCATGAGAAAAACGGACTTGATAGTCCCGAAAAGGAAAAAGAGAAAAAGGAGAAGAAAAAACAAAAAGAGGAAATTAGGAATAAAAGTGGAAGGAATACGAAAATGAAAAATGGATCGGATACAATTAACTGATCAGAGATAGTCCAGAAAAAAAGAAAAAGGCCGAACAGATGACGGAATAGGAAAAGAGAAAAAACCGAATTTACTATATATACTAATCGTATTGGGTATGGACTTTTTTGTGCAGGAGTATGAACTCTTTGGTTAAGCATAGACCATACAGGACCCAATACGTTTTGGAATTGGACTCCGTATTGCGTTAGGCAAGAGCTATTCTAACTCGTATGAACACGAGTTATATATATAAGTCCGGATGAAAGAAACTTTCTATTGTTCGGTAGTTAGAGAGAGACAGATAAAAAAATGGATGGACGAAAAAAATACCTGAAAATTTTCTCTTTATTATTAGGGAGGGATATATAGAATTATTATAATTAGGATTATGGATTATAATCAGAGCGTTTGCATCTTTGGATTATTTATTGTGATAGATCAAATATGTCTTAGTTGAATAGGAACACTAAGTTCATTTTTAGGGCATGTATATCTACGGGATTTAATAGGCCTCTAATGATGGTAGGCAATCTAACTCAGCTCTTAATCATTTTTAGCTCAAATACATAGGGCATGTTTGGCATAGCTCAACTCCACTAGTTTTGAAAAACAACTTTACAAGCAGTTTTTTTATGAAGCTGAGCTGTTTTGGAAAAAAAAATTTGGCAAAATATCTTTTTTTAGCTTTATCCTAACTCATGTCTTTGTGAGAGGAGAAGAAAAACAGCTTCACCCATAAAGTTGTTTGGAAATAAGTGTTTAGCAAAAAAAAAAAAAAAAACTCATAACCGCTCATAAAGCTGTCGTGGGCTGTGCCAAACAGGCCCATACTCCATACAAATTCAGCCTAGAATTTTTAGGCCCAGTTCTTATATTTTGTAGACCAAAATTCAGGGACCATCATGGAAACAAATATACCTGTAAAATATAAAAGGCATATACAACAAATAAAAGTAAAACATCAATTTTCATATCAATTGATGGGGTGGGAGCGTTTGGCCTGTGACCACACCTCGCCGTAACTCAACTGAGGCCACGCCAAAAATCTGGCGAGGAAAACTGGCGCCGGAGATTTGGCGAGGGAAGGCGTCAAAATGATCTAGCTTCACCGAGGCAAAGTGCGGCTCGCCGTAAGTCTGTTCAAGAGGCAAACATCGGCTAACGTTTGGCGTGGCGTCCTGTGGCGTGCTCTGGATATGAACCAAACAAAATTGCTTTTACTTCATTTAGGGCAATATTTTGCATCGGACATACTGCAATATGTTGAACCATGTCCCTGACAAAGCCCTGTTCAAAACTTTGGTCGAGTTTATTATAGTTGCTATCACAGTCCATAAAAAGATTACAGAGGACAATTTGGCAAAAATCCAGGGATAACGTGGAGCCCTGATCACCTAAAACTCCATCAGATGGAGTAACCAGATGAAGAAAAAAAGGAACTCATGCTATTGATTCTTTCAGAGCAAATGTTAAAATGTTACACGGATTGGTGAAAGGAAAATGCTCTGGTACACCACCCTTCATCTTGTAGAGTTCAGGTTGGCATTCATGTTGGTGGCTGCCAAGTCCCTGGCTTGAAAGTGGCACCAGTTCCTGTTGGTTCAGATGACCTGAAGACAAATAAACATAATAGTTTGAAATTAGAAATAATGTAAAATCAGATGAAGACTCGTGCAAAAGAAAGAAAAAACAAAGATAAAGACAATAGCATATTGTTGTTTTTCATGTAGCTCCTATATCAGCCGGAGCCATGAATAAATTGATGCACTTTCAATACTTCTGCAATACCCAAATTGAAGTTTGACCGAGGTGTCCAGAGCATATTGTCAGATCCAGTAAAAATTACCATGATATTATAATATCCAACTTCAATCTAAAAGTTGAACTTCATTTCTATATTCAAGTTCGGTAAATTAACTTTATTGTACATGTTCCTTGTGTACACGGGCATGCGCCCACACAATGCTTTAAGCATAACGCCCTGTTTGTTTGGGCTGGTTTGGCTTATAAGCCATGGCTGAAAGTACTGTTAGCTGTTTTGGTGTGAGAGAAAAATACTGTTCGTTGGCTGATAAGCCATGGCTTATAAGCCAAATATGACCAAGCGAACATGCTGTAAATTAACAGCATAAATGTTTTACTCCCCGTTGTTCCAAATTATAAGATGTTTTGGCTTTTCCAGATACATTACTTTTACTATGTATACAAACATAGTGTATATCTAAGTGAATAGCAAAAGTTATGTACCTAAAAAAAGCCAAAATGTCTTATAATTTGGAATGGAGGGAGTACCACAGAAAATTGCAAAACCATGCTGAATGTTTAAAGGCAGATATAAAGCAAAAGGCAGGCACAAGAGCATACAGCTGGCCATTGCTGGTACTATTTACTTAAATAAAATGGCTACAGAGTAAATAACATTTCATCACAATAACATAAAACATTCGCAGAAAGAACTTTGAGCTGGAATGCACCTCTCATTGTCTGTCGTAGCATCTTCTGTATGAGTTGCGTACTTAGGCCTAGATACCTCCTCAAGTCCTAAAGTGTTAACTAAAATGTCATGCATTTCAAAAGTAGTCGCACTTATATTCCCAGAGAGAAACATAGTTAAATAAGGTAATGTTACCTTTCTGCTGATCTGGAGGAGTACCAGAGAACTGCTGCTTCACGAAACTTTGGAGATTTGGAGATTCGGCTTTCCCTGCATTTGGAGGAACATCAGCAGTCAAACAATCAGGGGGAGAGAAAAGAAAGCATTACGAGATTTCTTTCCCCTTCACCAACACAACAGGGAGAAACTACAATGGAAGATTAACTGATAATATGAGGAATTGTATAACTGTCAAGTATCATGGCAGGGTATCAAATGATGTCAAAATATCATATCCTATTGTGGTAAATATATTAGATATATAAGAAACAAAAAGAAAAGAGTGGGTAAGAGATGAAAGTGGAATTGTGACACAGGAAGCATACTAAACAATCCACAGAAAGCTGTAAGTGCATATAAGCAAGGATTGAAGTACAAGGTACCAGAAAAAACATACCAATTTTCTTGACTGGTCGGGTACCGGTTTTTCTTTCCTCTTCTTCTTTCTTTTTGAGAACTTGATTGAACACAGATTAAACATATTAGTGGAGAAAACACAGATTATTGGCCATCAAACTAAAAAAAGATGACAGCTTTATGAATAACCAAGGCTAATGCAAAATTACATGCATGAGGATCTTGATTCTTTTTTTTTTGACCGAAGTCAGCAGGGGAAACCCCAACCTATTTTTTTAATAATTTTTTATTCCAGACCTGTTTAAATTCACTCCCACGGGGAGTCGAACCTAGGCCTGTTGGATACTACTCAGGTGCTCTAACCACTAGGCTAGAGGCCCTTTCACCATGAGGATCTTGACTCTTGAAAGAAACGAAACTTAAAAGAAGCTGTGACACCATAATAGCAAACATATGCTGGTACGAATAAGATCTTTTACTGCACCGCAAAGTCTGCAACTAGAATGAAAGCTTCATAGCTGCAAACCTATCCAGTACATTACATCGTAACAACTGTTCTCTAAAAAAATTAAGGCCATAAACAATAGGCCAGCATTTCCAACATGTTTTCCATGGATGAATTTAAATAGATATATAGCAGGCATCATCGAAATTTGGCTCATGACTAGGGATGCAAGTTTTGCTTTCTTTGGGACATCAGATCAACCCAATACTCAATTGAACTAGTCCGGATATCAAAGGAAGGGAGGTGGGATAAAAATTAACTAGCAGACTGGCCCACAACACTTGGTGTTAGCGCTTGAATCCCTAATCATGAGGTTAACAAACCAAATTTTAAGTGCACGACAACAACAGCATATCCTGCTACTTTTCCAACCACCAATCACACCCCACAAGGCTGCAACTGAATATCAACGTTAACCTTCTAATTCGTGGATGGAATGCTTGCAAAGTTGTAATAGAGATCAAAGTTTGCAAGTGATCATGTTTCATCCAACCTTGTTGAGGATTCCTGGCACAAAATATGATACAATTTCTATTTACAAAATAAGAATCTAGCATCAAATACAAGAAACACATATATCTGACCAGCATTTTATTTCATTTCTCTTAGTCTTATCCAGTGAATGGTATGGAAATTAGCATAGAGTGCATATGATGATACATATGGGCTACCATAAAGTAGTTGAGGCAATTAACATGGATTATTCAACTGCCAATGCCTATGAAAACATGTTTGGACTCCTGCTCAGTGCAGCAGCATGCACAATGCACAGTGAGGCTTATTAGTAAAATCATACATGAGTACACAAGTAGGAAATGGCATATACATACGTTCAATGTTTTGCTTGACACATTCACGCCTTGCCTCCAGCTCAGCCAATTCCTGAAAGGCGCAACAATACATCAGCGTCAGATGCAAAGATCATGTTGCTCTCCTTGCTAAGTTTGAACTGATGATGTAATAATAAAAGCAAAACTTTGAAGGACAATGCACTGTCTCACATTCTTGCTCTTACCTCTGGTGTAGGAGCTTTCTTCCTTTGGCCGTTCAGCCAGCAAATCCACTCGACTACAAGCACGACATAACTATGAGATGCTGTATATGCAATCAACAAATCCAAGTATATAATCTAGAATCAAGGCCACAATCCATACATGCCTGCAAACACGGTGTCGTAGCAGTTAAATTGGGATACTTCACTTCTTCAGTCACACCAAAAAAATCCTCATCGGAAAAAATGAGCAGCAAGGGAGGAAGGTCACCTGGAACGGTGGTCGAGTCCTGGTCGGCGCCCTTGAACTCCACCCACCGCCTCTCCTTCACTGTTCACATGTTCCGCAATCAAGAACAACATGAAGAAGAAGCAAAAGCAACAGCATCGAGATTTGCTTAGCCGGCATTCACGTGCCTTCCTCCTCCCCAGAGGAGACCAGGAGCGGGGAAACTAGAGGCAAGCTCGTGCAAGAAGGGGGAAACAGGGGATAGGATGAGCGGGGTGGACGGGGACACGTACTGGCGCCGTCGACCTCCTCGACGCGGGTGAAGTATCGGTTGCCGGCCTTGTCGACGCCCAACTGCGTCCGCGATTGGAACATGCCGAGCAGCCGCGACAGCAGCCGCTTCGACATCGCTGCTTCCGAATCTTCCCCGCTCCCGCTTCGCTAGAACAGGTCGCGGCGTCCCCTCTTCGTCGCCTGCGGCTCGCCGGAACCGGTCGCCACCTCCGTCTCCGATGGCCGTCGGCCTGCCGCCAGCGAATCAGTCTGGGTGTCTGGTCCACAGACGGCCCACTACACCATATAGCTCAACTGGTTATTAGGTTGGGCAATGTTTGGGCCGTTTCCAGGATAGGACTTGCAGCCCAAGACCTTATCGCGCAGGACGGGGGAGCTGGGCGGCGGCGTCAGACGATAGCCCGAAGCCCCCACAAGGCCACAAATCGTCGGCGGCGCCGACGCGATCGGCGCACCTGCGCTGCGCTCCTCTCCCTCGTGTCGTGTGCTCAAAGGCCATGCGGCGGCACCAGCGGCTTCGCCATCCCCGAATCCAAGCGCGCGGTATGCTTCCCTAGCTTCTCGGTTTTTTATCTTTGGTCTACCTCCGTGCGGCCGTGCGGGTGCCGTGGCGTTTACAGCCTGTGTTCAGATTATTACTCCATGATAGCCATGCATGGGGGAGGAGATAGCCATACATGTTTGGTTTGGTTGACAACAAAATTTTCTGCTGTTTCTTACGCAAAAGTTCGATAGAATAAACAAATCCATGTATTTAGTTAAAAGAAAAGTAAACCAGTGTGCTGGCCGCCGAAAATTGGTGTGTTTGATTCTCTTGTTGTTCTTTGGTTTTTGGCTAAACTCTTTGGTAACCATGATTTTTTCTCGTATTGCACCTCAGATGGATCGATTGTTTCCATGGCTGCGGGAAAGGACTTGCCTTGTGATCAAGATTGTAACTCTCCAGAAGGCAAAATAAGTAGATATTCAGGGCCCACCCTTCCTGAGGTACGGCATAACGGTTGCATGTAATATCATCATAATTACTGTTACTGCAAAACTTTGGATTGTGGGAGACTAAACTTTCGGATGACATTTGATATATGTGTCCCCAAGCATCCACACAGAGCTTACAATGGCATATAGATATCATAACCTTTGTATGGAGAAAGGGTGATACCTATAGTTATTTCTTTACATAATGTATCTGAAATAAAAACATCTCTGCATCAAATAAATTTTATCTTTTCCATGTTAGGCAATTTTGTGAGGTTTCAGGTTTCCTTTAGGTTATGCCACCCTTTAAACCTGTGTTCTCATGGTGCCAGAAGGAGATTTTGAAAAGAAACCTCCAAAAAGTTGTCTGGAATGCAGAAAAAAAAAGGTGTCATACTTTCATACATGACGAAACAAATTATTGCATACCTCCTGCTGGAACTGCATACCTATGAGCTTTCCACATTTGTATGTTCCAGCAGAATGCATGGCCTTGATCATCTAGAGTCAGGGCAGTTAGGCATGTCTATTAGTTTTTTTTTTTTTGAAAATCGCTGGCAGGACTTCTGCCAGGCAAATATATTAATAGAGAGCATATCTATTAGTTTAGATTTGTTTGTCTTTTACTTAAATATCAAAAAGACATTTCTACTTTGAGATATAGAAACTTTTCAGGAATTGGAGTATTGAAAAGCAAGCCCCAATATTACAAATACTGGAAGTTGTTATACACTTCATGTGCAATTTGTCCTTAGCTTTCTTCTGTATATATAGCACTTTCATTGTACCAACACTTGGAAAGCAAGAGTGACACATTCATATATGAAGTATGTTTCCTTGATACTTTTCATATCACTAAACATCTCTTTATGTGGTTCATAGCCTGAATGTCATCATCAACCAACAATATTACTCTGAAGTCTGAATATGCCATCTCATCGTTCGACCTTGATGGACACACACCTTTGTAAGCGTAACTAGTTACGGTAGAATTGCCATCAGCGTTATGTTACCCTCCACAGAGCACCTGTGATAGAATGTTAGCCCATACATTCCTGTTGGTTTGGCCTTCCTATTGAAGTAATCATGAGCTTGTTTAGTTTCATCATTGAACATTTCTCCTATGGTTGTGCCTGCAGGATATCTTGCTTCATATACATTCTCTGTTGCCACTTCGAGATGCTGCCCGTGCTGCTTCCGTGTCTCGTGCATTTCGAAATTCCTGGAAGTGTCATCCCAACCTCTACTTCAGTAAGGAAACTATGGGCTTGAAAACTACACTACATGTGTTAAGTGTATGAACTATGAAGGCCCTTATACTACAGGCCCATATGGCCCATGTGCCTCTCTCTATATAGATCGTCTCCACATGTGGAGTGGTTGTCTTCTCAGATCCCAAGGTTAGTAACATGGAATCAAAGCCATGGATTAGGGTTAGGATTAGGCTGATCTAATTCACCCACGATCCATTTTTTTCTTCTCCTTGGGATTTTCTTCACGCGGATCCTCTGCTCGCGGCCCCTGCTTGCGGCCCGTCGCTGTGCAGGTCCTTTGTTCCACGCGCATCGTTTGCGCCACCTGCGTGCGATCTGCGCGGCCCGTCGCTGCAGCCACTCGCGCAGTCTTCATCCGCGCCGTCCGCCTCCATCGCACGGTCTTCATCGGCGCCTGAAAGGTCCTAATGGCTAGATGGGGTGAATAGCCTATGAAAAATTCTACAACACTAAGCAAAGTGATTAGACAAAAATGAGGCGAAGCAATACTTACGCTAGCCTACTAAAAATACAAGCCACCTACCATAATTCTAATTACTATAGTCTCTAAGCACACAATGTTAGGTCACTACCACTAAGTTAGTGAGCTCTCAAAGACTAACTAAAGAGCCCCACTAACCACTAGACCCGACACAAGCTAACTCTCAAAAGTAATTACACTAAAGAGCTTAGCAACACTAGGAAAGTAAATGCAAGGGTGAGTTAGTGAGGTTATACGGACGTGGCAAGCGATGATCAATCAATCACAAGAGAACCAATGAAATCCTCGGGACAAGATGAGACAGTGATTTATCCCTGAGATTCACATGCTTGTCGGCAAGCTACGTCCTTGTTGTAGCGATTCAACCACTTGGAGGTTCACGCGCTAATAGGCATCACACGCCTAACCCGCACAACCAACACAAGATGGGGATCCACAAGCTACGAGCAATCCACTAGAATATATTTTGGCTCTTCGCCGGGAAAAAGTCAAGAACCCATCACAATCACCACGATCGGAGCTGAAAACAATCACCTTCCTCCACTCAACGATCCTCGCTGCACCAAGTCGTTTAGGTGGTGGCAACCACCAAGAGAAACAAACGAAATCCGCAGCGAAACACAATCACCAAGTGTCTCTAGATGCAATCACTCAAGCAATGCACTTAGATTTACTCCCAATCTCATAAAGATGACGAATCAATGATGGAGATGAGTGGGAGGGCTTTGGCTAAGCTCACAAGGTTGCTATGTCAATGCAAATGGTCAAGAGGGTGAGCTAGAGCCGGCCATGGGGCTTAAATAGAAGCCCCAACGAAATAGAGCCGTTGGGCTCCTCACTGCAACCCAACTCGGGATGACCGGACGCGCAGGTCCGCTAAACCGGACGCACAGCCTAGCATCCGGTCAGTGGATGACTGCCACGTGTCTCCCGCTTCAAACTTGCGCCGCCCGATCTCAACGGTCGTTTCGCCCACGTTTGCACTTAAGTCACGACCGGACACACCCGAAGGGCGACCGGACGCACTGCCACTACTCAGATCAGGCAAGCGCCCGATCACCCAACGTCGCGACCGGACGCACCGCTGGATCCACCTGATGCCACGCCAGTGCGCTTCAAATCATTTCTAGTAAGGTTCCCGAGCGACTAAAACGTGACCGGACGCGTTAGGTCAAGCATAACCGGACGCGCCCCTGCGTCCGCTCGCTTCTTCCTCGCCTCCATGCTTACGTCAGCATACGTCATACACGACCGGACCTAGAAGCTATGCGTCCGATCACCTCCTTGCTCCAACGTCTGGTCAACAGACCGAGACCGAGCCACTTCACCACCACTGACCGGACGCACCGGTGCAGAGTTCGGTCAAGGGAAAATAGCCCCTTGACTTCACCAACTTCTCCACCATTACTCAAATGTGCCAATCACAAGTGTAACACCTTGTGCATGTATGTTAGCATATTTTCACAAATATTTTCAAGAGTGTTAGCTCTCCACTAGATCTAAATGCATATGCAAATGAGTTAGAACATCTAGTGGCACTTTGATAACCACATTTCAATACGAGTTTCACTCCTCTTAATAGTATGGCTATCTATCCTAAATGTGATCACACCCGTTAGGTGTCTTGATCACCAAAACAAAATGACCCTATCAAATTCACCTTTGCCTTGAGACCATTTTATTTTTCTCTTTCTTCTTTTCCAAGCCCGAGCACTTGATCATCTCCATGGACTCCACCATTGCCATGATCTTCTCTATTTGCTCCATCACTTGGAATGTGCTACCTATCTCATAATCACTAGAGTAATAGGTTAGCACTTAGGGTTTCATCAATTCACCAAAACCAAACTAGAGCTTTCAATCTCCCCCTTTTTTGTAATTGATGACAACCCTTTCACAAAGATATAAATTAAAATTCAATTGAATCCATGTTACTTGCACAAACATATTTACCATGTGTAAAAGGATTTGGACAAGTTTCATAAACCCTCCATTGGTAGCATTTGCTCTCCCTACATATGTGCTAAGAGTTTGGATTGAAGCTTGCACATATGCATAGATTAAAAATGTGGGAGAGTAATGTCTACCAAATGATGCTAAGGTATAAGAGATAGACCTTTGAAATATGATACTAATCGGAGTACACCAAATATACCATCTTTAGCACCATTGCTAGTTAGATACCACTTGGAATTACTTGCAAAACACAAACACTAGATACCTCGTGAGATCAACATTAGAAGCAAGGCTCTAGTACCACTTGTGAAGACAAAGCAAGTAAGCAAGGCATATCTAACTATTACCTATGCATACTAGTTTTTCATTTCATCATTCAAACCTACAACTCGCATACACCACACAAGCATGAAATTTTTAAATGAAAA